GTTTGAATGAGAATTTGCACTAGGATAAAGGCAGGATGGCTGGTGGCTAATATAATGACTCAGAAGACGCAGTTCTGATTTTTGGCTTTGCTAGCCAAAAACCAGCCCTTTCATGGCCACACATCAGTCAGTGGGCATCTGCACATCTCAAAGTCCCGTTTATAGAGGGAGTGGTATGGTAATCTCAGGACAGGAACCTGTATTCTCTCTGCCTAGTTCTAAGGTGCCATCTAGAACAAGAAGCAGAATTTGTATCACTGAGCATGTTTATGGCAAGTATTGAAGCTATAGAAGTCTTCATTTGCACCAGGAGCTGTAATACATTTGGACTGGAGCACTCCTTTTTTTTCCTTTTGCTGTTCGCCTCAATATTACTACACCTATAGCATCTTCTCACTCCCTGTCTCCGGAATGTTTATTTTATTTTATTTTATTTTATTTTATTTTATTTTATTTTATTTTATTTTATTTTATTTTATTTTATTTTATTTTATTTTATATTTCCTCAATATTTTCTGCTGAAATTCTTCCAAGTTTACTGAATTTTCAAAGATTCACAGGTTTTCCTATGGACTACTTTACCCATGTGAGTTCTGTCTTTCAGACTCATGATCGTTAAGACAAGTGGGTACCACTAAACAGCATTAATAATTAGAAGAGGGCTGTTAGGTGGAATAGTCATCTCTCGCCATGGAAGGTGCTTCTATGAATATCAGAATTGTATCTAATGAGTTTTTCTATCTAAAATATGGCCCTAGAGCAGATAGAACAGGAAGGAAAACGGAGACAGAAAAGGAAGGAGAAAGCAGAGGTAGAGAGGACAGCAAGCGAGAGAACAGTTACCACCACGGTCCAGCAACGTCGTCAGTGGGGAATGTGTTTCACCAACCTCAGGAGCAGGCTTCTGTGTAAAAGGCATTTTTCTAGAGTTTGTTTCTTTATTTTAAAATCCAAATCTAATTTTAAAAGGTTAAAAAATGTGAGCCTTCTTTTAAGACTCTTTAAATATTTTTCCCTGGTAAGGAGCACAAAATGGCTGTGGCCTAAAAATATTAAAGAGATGCAATAGCCTTGATTGGGGTGAATTTTATTTGGAAGAATATTTAAGTTTCTTTGTGTCTCAGTTTGTTGAAAAGAGGGCTATCATAGAACCATAGAATCTTAGGGGCTGGAAGGGACCTCGAGAGATCATCTAGTCCAACCCCCCTGCCAGAGCAGGGTCACCTAGAGCACATCACACAGGAACTCATCCAGGTGGGTTTTGAATGTCTCCAGTGAGGGAGACTCCACAACCTCCCTGGGCAGCCTGTTCCAGTGCTCTGTCACTCTTACAGTAAAAAAATTTTTTCGGATATTCACCTTGAACCTCCTATGCTCCAATTTACACCCATTACCCCTTGTCCTATCACTGGTCATCACTGAGAAAAGCCTAACTCCGTCCCCCTGACACTCACCAAATATGCTTTATTTACAGGCAAGAGGAGAAATCCAAGTTGTGTGGTGCAACCTAGGTTGCTGTAGGATCAATAAGTGCCTTTTGTGTTTAGGAAAATGCTAAAGATAAACAGTAGATGCTAGGACAGCCAGATAGTAGTCACAGTGTTAGCTAAAGGGTCACCTTGTCAACAAGCAGAAATGCTTTTCTGCTGAGATTTTAGATAACACATTCCCTTATCCGATTTCTTAAGTGTGCACAGAGTAAAAAGATTTTATGACCAAATTATTTTCCATTAAAACGCAGCTTTTTTATTTTCCATCTTTTCTTTTTTCTTCTTGCCGTCCTTCTAGCGTGTCTTGATAATTGGTTAAAGCATGCTATAAAATGTTCAGATATGTAATATTGAAAGAAATTTGATATATGAGCATCCCATAATTGGCAACCAGTTAAAAAAAAAAAAAAAAGGTGAGGGAGAGTGTTTGAGGGATTATTGAAATGTCTCATCTTGGAAAAGTTTCAAAATACTGATTTTCACCTTAATAACTTTAGCTGGCTGGGAGATAAGCAATACCATTTGACTCTATGTTCAAGGGGAGGCTGTAGATTGAGAAAAAGTTGTTAAATAAAATTATTTTCAAGATTTGTTGTTCTTGTTCATATATTTCCCTCTGCTTGGCTGAAACAGATGCTGCAAGTCTCTGCAGTTTGCAACACGTCACAATAAAATCTTCTGCTAAATTTACTACCTAACCAGATACTGAAAAGGGGTTTTTCGGTGAATAGATGAATCCTGCTGCTGCTGACATTGGTGTCAGCTCAATATTTGTGGGCAGTGCCTGAAGCTAGACCTGCCTGTCTGTTAGATGCCCATGCTGTGGGTTTCTGTGTCAGAGGCACAGATGCCGGAGGAAGAGATCAGGTGTTGCTCTGTGAAATTATGTGTATTCAGGATGTTGGGCAGCTCAACTCTCCCCTTGCTATGCTGAGTAGGACTGCTCCTCAGCACTTGGGAATAGTTCTCTAGATGGCACCTCATGAGCACTGGGGACCCTGCTTTTTGGGGAGGTGAGCAGTTTTTTGCTGAAGAGAGGAGGTGAGTGGTAGAGGACATGTGATAGGTCCCACCTCCAGTCCCTTGCTCTGAAATGGATGTTGCTCAAGAGATGCTCTATAGCCAGAGCTCCAGCAGCCAAGGTTACTTTAAGGCCCACATGAAAAAAACATATGAACCATTTTTGTAAATATTTTTTTTTTTTCTAAACAACCAGCACTCATGAGAATATGAGAAAAGCAGAAGGAGTTACTTAGTGCTGTGTGTTGACGTTTATTGTTTCTTCTGCAGGAAGAGGAGAACCCTGAGGTACATCTTTGTATCCGAGAAAGACCATTATATGCTGGTGTGTCAGGGAGCACATGTTGACATTTCAACATGGTTCTAGTAAGTGCTGGTTAGAAAACATTTCTTGTTTCAGATAAGCCTAAGTCTTGAGGTTATTTGTCCACTCAGGATTCATACTGAGCTTAGAATATCTGAATGCACAAGCTCCCAGGGGTTCTGCAGTGTGACACAAACAAAGGGTGAAGAGAACTGAAGTCAGGACGGCATCATCTCTCCAGTGACTTTTGTTTTATCGAATACAAAAGGAAGTTTATGGTACCGGTGGTGCCATGGTAATCCCTCTAAGAAGGGCTAAATTATGCCTTCTTGTGCACATTTGCAGTAGAACAGATAGACTAGACTCAATACCTGCCGTTCTCATTCTTGTAGAGGAGAAGGATGTTGAGATTTGTCTCGAGGTCAAGATAATCACATGACAGAAGTAACCAGGAGTAGGTTTTACTCTGTTGACATGGTATAACGATTTGAATGTGCTTATATTTTCTTGCAGAGTAGATGGCAGAGTTTACTTCGGATGTGTTCTTTAAGGAGGGAGAATCATTGCTGGTGAAAGAATTTTATACAGCAGAATAGAGCAATGGTGTAAAGCAGCTGGATTGCATGTCTCTTTCTGCAGCCAAGCATGAAGTGATACCCTATATGTGTATTATCTGTGTGTGGCAGTAACTGCGAGTTGGTGACAGGTCTGGGACAGAAGTTAATGTCCTTCTGCAAGGTAACACTTGTGAAAAGCTCCACCTTAAAATACTCCTTACAGAATTAATGTTACCGTTTCTTAATTTCACTTGTAACCCTGTTATCTTGTGTACAAACAGGACTGTACTTCTCTTGCTGCTGCTCTTAAGATTGGTTTCAGGATGCTGTTGCTGGAAACTGCAGAGCTTTGCCTGTGTCAAAGCGAGACACCTTGGAATCAGCTGTGGGTTACCTCTGCCTCTGCAAAAAATAAGAAACCCCTCTGAGTCTTGCTGCTGATTAGGCTGGCTGGATTGCTGTTTGCATTGACACCCTTTTCTTACAATACGAAAGGTGTAGTGTTTTTTTCTGAACACTTGTGGCCAGTGATTTTGTAAAGGGTTTTGCCTTCTGTTTTAAATTTATGCTGAAGTCAAACCACAAGAATGTAGGTACTTGTGAACGTAGATGAATTGATGGGCACCAGAAGATGTGTATTAACAAACCCGTGGTTTAAAAGAAGTGTGTCCCAAGGTGGTAGGGGGTTCATTTTTTTTGTTTTGATTGAAGCTATGCATTTAAATTCTGCAGTTTGTAGGCAGGGAACTTCTCAAATCTTATCTTGCTGATAGCAGGCTGTACCTCTGCATTAACAAGCAATGAGGTGCATAACTGTGTTGTTCTAGGAAACTGTTCAGCTGTAAAAACAAGGCCACGTCTGAGCTGAGACGGCCTCCTCTTTTTTTGTAGCCTGTTTCAGCAAGTAGAAGACAACTTGTGTGCAGTTGTTGAGTCCATCTTGTTGTTTTAAAGATGTGGAGTTGCTTCTGGTATGCTTTTCTCATTTGATAGGAATACTATTTTTACAGTATGGATTTTGGGGATGTAGTGAGCTTGAAATATAATAACAGTAATCCGAGTTGCTATGATGACTGTAATTATAGTTATTCCAGTGACAACTTATATCAGTAGCTTGCTGTTAAAGGTAGTTAAGGCAGTCTGCCTTGGGGATATGTTCTACCAGGTTGCTAAAAAAGTGCCAGACACGTGGGTTAATCCTGTGGAGGAAAAGTCGCTAAAACTTCATCTCAGGGTCAAATTCAATTTTTTACTTCTAGAGATAAACAAATGCTGCAATTCTCACTACTTCATTTGCTTCAACTATGAATGTTTCAGCAGCTGTTTCAGGGCTCAGCCTGACCTGTTTGATTTACTGTGTCTATTGTGTGAAAAGCACATAGTGTGTTAACTAAGATCAGCCACCCTTCCTCTGACCTTACATGGGTATCATTACACCAGCCTGTCCTCATTCTGGGGAAATCTGGGGCAACTGAATAGCTGATAAGCCTAATATCCTTTTCTTCCCCCCCCCAATTCTGGAAGATGTCGACTTAATTTGCAGACATGAATAGGATGTAATGACATCGATGCCTCCTGACGAGTGTTTAGTAATTCCACTGGTTTATTCTGTTTCTAGATGCTGTGACAATGGAGTTGAGCTGCCATGAAGTACCTCTTTATGTAAGTTCTGCCTGGAGAGTCACTCTAATTTGGGTAATACCTTATTCAAAAGCAGGGTGAATGAAACCAAAAACCATTTTCTGGTTGTCTGAGACCTCAGGCTGTTGAATGTTGCTGTCTAATGCAGGCATGTGTAGGGATAATAGTTTTCAATATTGTGGCTCAGTTCTCTGAAGTAAGTTTAATATTATTTTCCCTTTATGATAATTATTTTTTTCTCCTTCAGTAGTCTCAATTGCAGTTTTCAAAAGCAGAATTACTGCTTATGAAGAGACACCACTCACTCTCTCTTTCCTGCAATTTATGGCTATTTTTTCCATATAAAATTCCAAATTACTAATGCCTCCACTTCCTCAAAGTAGGAGATTGTATGTTATGTCAAAAAATGAGGAAGTTAAAGTTTGTAATCAAATTAATTTTTTTATGTAAAACTTGAAATGATTGCTTAAAATAGATGAACTCAGAGTTCAAAACCAGCTAGTTGCCCTAGTTTTCATACTCACATCCCATAGTAGGCACTAAGTAGATAAGGTATATCTAACGCATGTCCTCACTGCTGTTACTAGCATTCTAGGGTTCTGTGATTCAAACTGTCACACTTTGTCTGTACTGAATTTCTTTGCAAATCCAAAATAGTATGCATAACCTGGCTGGCCAAGTGACATTTGTTGTTTGGGTTTTTTTTTTTTTGTTACGTAAGAGGGAATGTATTCAGAAAGCTCAAGAACCTTGCTGGGTAATAACATGATTCACAACCTGGAACTGTCATTTTCAGAATGACTCTGCCTATGGAGCTCTGAGCAGATGTGCTCAAATTATTCCCCGATATACTGCTGCAGCACAAATAAAACCTTGTTTATTTAATCACCTTTTGCACAAGCCTCAGTACAAAACAAAAAAATGCAGAAGTGTTCAGGAGTGTGTGAGTATTGGGAAGCACTTTGCCATTGCCTTCAGCTTGAGCAGTTCCAGGTTGGGAATCATGTTTGTCAGGAAGAAATTCCAATTTATTTTATTTCTTTATTTATTTTAAAAGTATTTTATTTGCATACCAAGCTAGAGGGACAAATGAGCTATAATTGTTTCCTTCTTCACCAATGCATGGGTTTCATGTGCATGATAACTGGGAAACAGAATTAATAGAAATAATTCAATATTGTTATTCTGTTTTTTAAAAGGCTGAAGTGAAGTTTAGACTGATAAACGATTGCAGCATGCTTTTGCATAGTGTGAGTAGGAAATGGCAACAGGATTTATGTATTGATCCCGTGTGAGTGGGTGCCTTCTCAGCTCCTCCATGCTGAATTAAGAAATGTTAAGGGATAGTTTTCCATGGTGTAATACAGCTTCTGGATTTTCTGTTCTTGCCATGTGTTCAGTCTCGTAGCCAACAATTTGTGGAAAGAAGCCAGTTTCTAGCCCATCTTGCCAATCCTGTTTTCATGTTCTTTGCTATTGTGGTAGTCTTCGCCATACACTGGGTCAGTCTGTGTGTTCAGCCAGGCTGGAACAGCTGTTTTGTTTAGACACCAATTTCAAAACACAAAAGAAAAATGTGGTTTAAAATGTAAGTATCTGTTGGGCTTCCAGCATGCATTTGCTAATACACAGAGTTGTGTGTGCTGTCTGGATCCAGTACTGGCTGGAGTCATGAGTGTGTTGTTGTTGACTCCTGTGGTAGCCTGGTTGGGTCTGTTATGGGTGACTTGCATGGGGCATTTGAAAG